GCAGCATGCAAAATATTCCGCCAACGTAATATTCACGATTCCTGTCCTTTTGGTTATTCAAATCTGAATTTGGCGGCAGTACTTGAGAAATTGTTAGGCACTCAGGGGGTAGGGTAGGGTACTGAACATCTGGATTCCAGTGACTCCCAATGAGGTGAACAACCGCCACCACTAATTCCCAAATGTTACGTACAACGTGGACAACTGCAATCAAAATATGCACGCATTGCTTTCTGTACAGAAGAATAGCAGAAGATGGAACACTATTGACCCGTGTATACAAATGGGGGGGGGTTTAGACTTAATATTTATTCAAGTGGTGCTTTAGGCGTGCACCAGGAGGTGTCGATCTACGCGGGACGCTTTATGCTTTTATGATTCACTTCTTAAAAAAGGACCGCCTCCGCAGAGAACCTTCTTTTATCATATAAGGCCATGACATGAAAATTCAATGGGTAGGAACACTTTGCACAAAGGGATCAAATCGAGGAATCTTGACAGACGATTCAAATTTAGCACGCTGTATAACTCTAGATGACGGAAGCAAATGCAAAGGAAGAACACAGGCAAAGAGAATTCTGGGATCGAAGATGAGTGGCGACTTAAATGCACCGGTCGCGATCGGATAAGGGTGCTGTTCCTCTCAAAGAAAACAAATAACAGATGTGAAGAGGCTCTACATGAGGAAAAGAAGACAAAAAAAATCATAGAGAACATTAAAAACTCAATCTCTTGCAAAGTCGGCCCTGGCACTGTAGAGAGACACAACGTGCCGAGGAGAGGGATTACACGCAAAGGCACGTCGTACGAGAAGCTGAACGAACGAGTGAAAATTGCAGCGGTCGATGCAAAGTTTTAGCAATTTCGAGTCAGGATAGTGTTATACTCCTCTGCTCAGGCTCTGAGCACCTGGTCGCGACCTGCGCCATTAACCCTCAAATTTGAAAAAAAAACGAGACGAACGTGACGGTACGCGGAGCAGTGGCGAAATGCTTATTCATGGCATTCAAAATCATAAAAAACGCATAACGACGAACATTGCGAACCTGACCCTTTTTGCAGTATAACTAATTACAAGTATTAATGAAATCGGCATCAACGCGGTACACAACGATTTAACTCAAACACAATAGGAAAACAAACCTCACAAACTTTATTACGACTAAAAGTGAAGCAGAGTCATGTGAAGAACAAAACCATCTGAGAAACAAAATAGATAATTTGATCTCATTACGCAAAATTTAAAAAAATAATCTCAACAAAATATTTTTCAAATAGATTCTGCACAAGTACTACAAATATCAACATAGGCACACGCAATCTGAGAATACAGGAGAAAAAACAGAATAAATTATACATAATGCGTGAAAATGATGTCCATGGGCGAAAAAGAGAAGAAAAAAACAGTAATGCAACTGTAAACAAAAAACGCATGGGAAGAAAAACCAGTCACACTGCTCAGCGAGAAACTTACAGGTTGTTTCTTTCAAGCCGAGCGATAAGTTTCCTCTAGTCTACTTGAATCTGTGCCTGAAACACTTTCATTGTATTAGTGCTCGTAATACCCTTTCATTCTCCATCACCCAATTAAGTACAAAAAATCGCCGAGATTTAGGATTTATAAATATTATAATAAATATGAGAAGCTTCAAACTATGCGAAAAACCGAGAGATTTTTCAAGATTACGTCAGCTTCCGAAAACGATTGCAAACTTTCCATTCGAAGTCAAAAAACACTAAATGAATTTTGACTTGTTTTGTTTGTTAACTGCTGTTTTAACGCCGCAGTTCGCGTTGCGAATGTTTCACAAGAATGCTGGGTTGTGAACAAAACTTTCGCCCCAGGCGGGACTAGAACCCGCACCTCTCGCTTTCCGGGCAAGTGCGCTACCAGTTACGCTACCGGGGCACCATTTCATTCCACCAACTCAGCTTTTTTAACAATCAATAATTTTATATCCATTACTGTTAAAGACCTTGCAATAGCTAAACATTGTATAAGCCACTTCACCGCCTTATTTTTATTTCTCAATTATGTTTTGTTCCCTAGGTTTGATTACTGTTTTCTCTAACAGTAAGTAACGTTGGTGCAACTCTTAATCGAGTAACGACGTAAATAAATAAACAAACAAATTGATTAATTTAAGCGAATAAAAAGATTAGAAGACCAGTGTACCGATACAAGGTTATTGAATGCGGCACCCTCAGCGGTAAAGGCACAGCGCGACGCCGCGCTTCTCGCGCGATGGTCCACACTGACCGACATCCCGTATGTCCGTGCCATCTATGATTAGGCAGCATAGGTGAGAGAAACGGCAATTTGTGTGTGACCCTCCAGGCCGTAAGTGTTTTGTCTTCCAGAATCGTTGAGTGGGGGGGGGGCGAAAATATCTTTAACTTTATTTTTTGATTTGATTGATAACTGGCCGTGTCCTTCACTTCAGTAACGATTGTTCCCTTTAACCTACCACATGAATTAAAAGTGGCCCTTTATCAGGACAATCCCAACTGGGAAGACAGAAAAGTTTTACAGGGATTTTCGTCCCCCAACCCTTCAGGGAAGCATACCTTACGGCCCACAGGACAGGGACAAAGTCACTGATTCAATATATGACCTGGTCTAGTGCTTACTTCTGGACGCGTTTGATATTTTCCTGCTCCAGGACCTCAAAAAAGATAGCTTTAGGGGGTTAGAATGGTAGCTCACAGAAAAGAAACACATTGAGGAAGTTGATGGGAAGGTTATGCATCTATGAAATAAACATCACTCTCGTGCGATTTGTGAACAAAACCCAGCCCTTTCGAGATTTGATGAAGGTACTTTGCTCAACGCCTGCGCATGTGAACTCGACCTGGCGTGGAGTCGAAAGCACATTCGAATGCGCTGCGATACCATCGCTCACATTATCGGCATGGAAAAGTACACCATCGGGACACAAGAACAGACGCATACTAATCAGATGATCTCATGATGCATCACCGTGTACCGTACTGAGCGACCACCGAACGAGAAATTGCCTACATCAACCGAAACCGATTCACAATGGGAAAAGGGATCACAAATGATTTTATTGAGCCCTTGCTGATAGGACCTAAAAAGTACATATCAGGAAGAGGACCACTGAAATTGAGCAGATGTTCCAAGCCTGGAATAGCCGTTGTTGTGCATATTCTCACAATACTTCAACCGCTTTCACGACTGGCCAACATCTAGCGGAAAGGGCTAGCAGCTTCTTATAAAGTTGTCAAAAGGACTACGTTTCTCAAACGAAATATGATGCATGGCGCATTCCTGTCTGCGGCACGATGAACATTCTTTCGTGAATTTCTTGGGATCGTAAGGACTCAAAAAAGCCATAGAAGTTAATGAATGCCCTTAGTCAGGAATCTGCCATCCATTGTATTCTGGTTGGAAAACAGAGGCTTGCATAACAGCGTGAAGTCAGTGCGAATTCTGCAGCTTGTTTGGGCAGGAGCCCGCCTGCTTCCCTTCTCTGCGACCTTAGCGCACTCATGTTCCCCGTCAAGTGTTTCTTGTTGAGAATTCTTTTCCTCTCACATGCTTGAGAGTGAGCCCCACCCTTTCTCTATTATTTTCTGGCCAATTCCCCTCCCATCGTCTCCCCGCCCCACTTTATCACTCCAGATATCATGCAGATGCTACCATGCTCTCTGGAATGAAGAGAATAAGAGGCAAGCGACGACGAGTGTCACAATGCTGTTCCCTCTTTATCTCCGTTGAAAGCATGAGCTCTGGAATTTCTGTGTAACCGCTTGTTAATAGAGATTATCGCGACGGGTTGGATCACCAAAAAAAAACAAACAAAAGCAAAATATACGGTTAGAAAAGTATACTGAGAGAAGCGATATTGCCAATAAATGAGAGCGATGTTGCTTATGTAGGCACCTCTCAATATGAAAAATGAGCACTTCCCATGCGATGCTATCTCATCCTGTTTTCGCCTTCCATCTACAAAAATGCCAACGCATTTTTCTAACAATCCGGAACATGACAACAACTGTGACAAAGTACAGTAACCTTGTTTTTTGGACGAAAAAGGTGACCTGATGACAATCATAAAATTGAGATTCGATATCACGAAGGAAGGAAGCTGTAGCCATACAAGCCCGACGTCCTACTTTGTGAATCGAGGAATTCGCTAGCGTCGCGTTGCGATACCAGCCAACCGAGCTATTAGCTGGCCGCGACGCGACCGCGTACGCTAGCGAATCACTCGATTCGCAAAGTGTGACATGGGCTTAACAGTGAACTAGGAAGTTATACGAACTGAAAAAATATGTTGAGAATGAAAAGTAGTTAATCAAGTGAACTATGAAATCAAGTTGTCAAACATTTCTCATAGCATAAATGTTGTATAACACAAAGAGGCAACGGAAGCTTTATTTTCAAGTCTTCCAGAAGGCTATGAGAACTTGGATTAGTTGCAGCTTTTGGGGCCAATTTGGATTCCTTTGAAAAAAAAAGTTTTGAAACCTCTTTGTGTCATGCAACATCTAGGTCCTGAAGAGGTTCCGGGACAGAGCTGACAATTGTCACCACTGACGATCACTCTAGTGACGCGCGGATGCTGCGTGCAGATTTGCACCGCATGGCCGTACTCGTTCGTCGAATGACTGGACAGTTCTGATATCCAGAGCGTGTCTGTAACATTGCTTATTCACAGCGCGACAATACACTAGCTGGAATAACGATGGAGTAATGGGTGACCGCAGGAGTCCGTCGGCGCTGGTGACAAGGCAGAGTCAGCAAGAAATCTTAACACTTTAGCGTTCCCACACCGCACTACTGCTGACGCTGTGTCTTCCTTACCGCGGCGACGGCCTCTTCGGGACCCTGGCCGTAATGACGATTCGGAAAAGCAGTAAACAAACAGATGGCGTGGCTACGCGCCACAAGCGTCCAACGCCGGAAAAATAAACGCACAATAATGCAGCCATTAATAATATAATAATGATATAGCTTCACTAATCTTCCATACCTTAGCATGTTTGATCTCAAGATCAGCGAGATCAGCAAGGTTTTTCTTGAACGCCAATACTCGACGTTTTTTCAGATCCTTCAGCTCGGTCTTTTAGCCGGACTTGATGTCCTTCGAATTTTTTTCAACCTTTGGTTGCTTGCGTTGTCAGCCTGCAAATTGCCGCTGATGTCCTCGAATTTTTTGCACGCCTCTTGCTGTTCATTTTCAGCCTGCAACATGGTACACCCTTCAGCTAAGGAAAAACCATTTACAAGCATTATTTCTCTTTAGTGAAAAACTACTGAACTTAGGGTTAATTTCAAAGGAACACTCAATAAAAACCTGAAAAATCGAAAGGTCTTTATTTCCGAGTTCAGGAAATGTTAAACAGAGAGTCCCGGAGAAATCCCTTTCCACACTTTTTTTCATAAACTATTGGCAAATAATTCGAGTAAATGATCCACATAGATAACCACCGCTAAATGGTCAAACCAAATTTGCACTGTTCACGAAGAAATTATTTTCATAGAGCTGGGTCCCGATGGAAAACTGCTTCCCACCTAAAACGATTCTCTTTGCGGAACATCTTGATTTTTGACCGTAATCTGCGGACTGGTAACAGAAGGACCAAACAAACGAATCATTGAACAAATCATTTTTAACGAACTAAAAAGACGTGACTGATTGTACCTTCGGAATGTCCTTGTTGTTGCGACCGCGAGCACGTTCGAGATTCTTGTTTGCTGCTTCGTAGTTGGCGAGGCATCGCAGGCGACGATAAAGGAGATCCTGAAATTGATTGGGTGATAAATTGGACAAATCAATTGTAAATATTTGAATTAGGTAAGGAGAACGAAGATCTTCTCACAGAAGGGATAAAAAGAATGAATAGTTGAGGAAGGACCTATTCTTACAAACAGTTGAGCAAAAGACGATAAAGAGTAGAAAATGCTACAATAGTATGAGGATATTGAAAGTGAAGAGCCAATTCCCTTTGACTGATGTTGAGTCCGAAAATAAAGATCAATAGGAGCGGGTGCATTAGAATGGGCTGTGTAGAGCGGGAACCGTTCTCAACAACGGCCGCTCTCAAACAAGGCGCTGACGTCCCAAATCCTCTCTCTAGAGCTCCGCTCTCCACAGGGGGTTCATAGATCTGGTTCCTTCTCTATCATTCTTATCTATGATACTTCACTCACTCTGGTAAGGAATTCATCCCGAACTTTCTTTTCTTTCTCTTTTAAAGTGCAAAAAAAGCATAAAGCAGAATAAAGATAGAAAGAGTTTGCTATGTCCCATCTCTCGAGGAAACTCCACACATTCCACTCTCATTGTTTGCAGATGTATGTCTGACCAAAAAAAGTCTCACGATCAGTAATATTAAGAATTCAAAACAACATTTGATTTAAAATAAAAAATATTGTAAACTCTGAGTACAATTCACAGAATAGTTAAACGGAATAAAAAATTAATTTCATTACGTGATAATTTGTAAGATCTGTTGATGCACAGCGCTTTTGTTCACAAATACTTGGGTGCCATTCAATTCCCACAAACCAATTAGAAGGAACGCAATCAAAAAATGAACGGTCGACAACACATACGCCAGCTTTTGTCTCACCTTTTGTGGCCCCATTAAGGAAGCTTTTCGTTTTTTTTTCTAACACATTGCTACCACGGTTTCACTCGAGAGAATACTCTTTCATTTGATTTACTTGGCATTTTTCCATGTGCCTGAACTGTTTGCACTCATTTCCAGAGCCGTAAAACATTGTAAAATTGTCATCACTGATAAAAATTTTGATAAGGTAGTTATGATTTATTCGAAAAGAACATAAAAAGTAAGGTGGCGCTCGCACAACGGCGGTACGCAATGTGTTAAAATTTGTTTCAATTAACAACCAGGACCAAAGCGAGAGGACCCTTTACTCTTTCTCCTTTTCATCTTTCGAAAATGTCCACGTTTCTTCCCTGAACATTCACTGTGGTGAGATAGCTTCACTTGGCTCTTCTTTAATGAAACCCTGGTCCAATTTTGAAACTTTTCAGGATTTTCAAAGGACGTTTGAGACCTCGTCGTTTTTCAGACCCTTCTGACTCAAGCTGACTCCGCTTGTGATTCTTTCCAAGTTCGTTTGGCTATAGAGAGAGATCTTCACAAACGGCCATCACATTCCAATGGTCTTAGCAGCAATTCTCTGACACCAAAATTTTGGCCAGAAAAAAAAAACGCTCTAGAAAGACGCTTGTCCCTAAAGCTTAAACACGAGAAACATTGTTGTTCAAGACTAAAGAGCAACAATGAGCGGCGAATGCTTTCTCCCGCTCTTTGAGAAACAGACGTTGCTGTCGCCCGGGGGTGGTTCCCCCGCGAACAATGACCTCAATGACGCTGCATCGATCACTGCCCGACGAAACACTAAAAACGTCCCGCTACAGAAATATCCAGCAAGAGCCACCAATCGATAATTTTGAGAGGAAAAGTAGTGGGTCATATTATACGCCAATTTCGGACCACATGAAATGTCATAAGGTGTACCGTTTCCACGTCAGGATGAGGAAGTCAGTTCTGCTTGATTCAGTATTAAACTTTTCTTACTCGTATTATATTGCGTCTTGATTCAAAATGAAACTAAATAAACACATATTGACCAAACTATTGAAAGCTTATTAAGTGAAAGAGAAAATAGACGAAAAATTGCAGGGATTTCTTGAACACCATTCCGTAAAGGGTTAAAAAATTTTTTTGTCAGAACAGTGACCAAAACATTTGAAAGAGAAAAAGGAACATGACACAAAAAGCTCCGTAAACCAATAAACCAAACAACCTTTTTTCCGAAAAATACACCATTTATTATAAGAAGAACAGTTCTAGGAGGAAACTTCATCTTGCGTTTGGCCCTTAAAATGAGGCTTCATTAATTCTCTACATTATCTATTTTCCATTCCGTTGTCTTGCAGTGGACCAATAAATATTTTGTAAAAAAAATAAAATGAACAAACAGATTAAACAATCGTGATTGATGGGTAGAATAACAGAGTACATTCCCCAAAGCGCTCTTCAGAGATCTTCGATGAGCTTCACTGAACTTCAGCCGGGCCAGAATCTGGTTTAAGAAAAATGAAATGAAAGAAAAAACGAAATGCCGGCCGCTAATAAATTTATACAATTATTTTTGACATTGAATGAAAAATATAACAGCCAGATTTAGAGCATATGAAGAGGTACCCTCTATTTCGGAAAACGAGAAGAGCGTCGAGTGCAGACCACACACCACAAGTGACGACGGCCAAGAAAAAAGTGGCTTTTCTTTTCTTTTTCTTGGCCGTCGTCACTTGTGGTGTGTGGTCTGCACTCGACGCTCTTCTCGTTTTCCAAATTAGAAAGTAAAATAAAGGCTAATATTGCCAGAAAGCCAAAAAACAAGAGATTGGTGTATGAAAAAGAATCAAGAAGGAAAGAAGGGAAAGAATGTTACGGAAAAATAGCAGTACACATAAGATGAGGCACTTGGTGAATAAGTGCGTAAATTTTAATCTTGAACCACGTTTGGGTGCCCGAAAACGACAATTCAGTCGAAACAATGGCTCGCTTCAACAAATGTTCGATTGAAGAACCTCCAAAGGCACAATAACTAGCATTGTAACTTACCCACTATGCCGAGGCTGCAAGAAGAGACAGTCTAGTAGAGTAGAGAAAATTTTCAAAGAATAACAGAAGGAAAAGAAACGAAGAGAAGGAAAGAAAGTCATAAGAGATTATTGTAGGTTCAGAACACCGCATCTAAGTAAGAAAAGAGTTCTAGCCAGTTCTTTATGACGCACAAGAGAGCGAACGACGAGTGTCACATTCCAAACGCATCAAACCCAACCGTCTGATCACAAGTGGTGGAAACTGGTAGTTACAAAGTGTTAAA